TGAGTGAGCAGCTCTGCCCTACAACACAATGCCTGTCACACCTGCCCTGATGCTATTCCTTGTCCTGGCCACAGCCCCCAAACAATGAAGTGATCAGGGACCACAAAGTCTGAAATAGAGCCACAGACAGCATTCCTCCTTTAGGTTGTGTTGTTCAGGCACATTTGTCTCAGCTGAAAGAATGGCCAACACACTGCTCGGCACATCCTTTGGCTTAGTGAAAGGGGCAATATTGAAGTGTTCCTGTTCAAGATGAATTTCCACGGCATTCTTCGGGTGTCCTACACTTTCCCTGGAGTTCTGAAAACGCCAGAGGATGCGAGGTAGGATTTCATTCATTCCCTTATCTCAAACCACTCAATAGCAACAGATACTTGATGAATATGAAGCCTGGTGCCAGGTGCTAGAAGAATCAACAATTTTGTTCAAATTTATGAAAAAAAAGAAGCTTGCCAACTGTACAACCCAAATTACCAGTATTCTCAAACTGCCTGTGACATTCCTGGCAACAGGGGCCCAGATGTTAGTGTCTCCATGGTTACTCAAGAGAGAGAGAGTTGCTGTGCTATGCGGTGAGGGAGCCAGGGAAGAGGAGACAGGCACCCATGTGCTCTAGGCCAGTAAAGCACCCCACTTGCCCTGCCTTTCAGCCGTGCGGGAGCTTTATCCTCCAAAATCCCCTTCCAGCCTTGAACAAAAGGGAAGCCGATTAGTCAGGCTCTCTTTAGGCAGAACTGCTCCAAGCTTCGGCTCACAAGAGCAGAGTAAGAAGCCTGTTCTCAATTCCTTGGTCTATAGAGGTCATTGTGAGCACACGGGAAAAGACTCCATCTAGCCATGATCCTCTTGTTAAAAATACACTTGGTTTGCAAAGTGCTTATTCATACAGGAAGTTTCCAGAAGATGCGCCTGACCACAACCAGGAGAGGCCTCCTGCTCGGTGTGTTGCGGGTGCTTTCTTCTTCCTGTGCAAACTTTTCAGTTCTGTTCCCAGGCACATACTTTAGGGACAAACACACTCTCGCGACAAGTTTGAAAGGACAGCATCAGCACTCCAGCCGGGGCAGCAGCCTGACATCTCTGGGGACAGATGAAGAGGTGGCAGAGGTGGGAGGGAGGAAGAAGGATCACTTCTGATGTCAGCTGTCTAGAAAGCCTTCTGGGTGGCTGGCTTTCTCCTCAGTTCTAACAGCCAAGTGTCTTAGAAGAGTCCTAATAGAGTTGTCCAGGTGTGAGCCCTAGGGGACTCATGGGCAGGGTTTACCTCTGTTGCCAACTAGACTGGACTGAGGAGCCCCTGGGAGACTGGGGCAGCAGCCCCTGCCTGTGCCTTTAAGGGCATTTCCAGGTGGAATTAATTGAGAGGGGAAGGCAAACCTCTGACTGTGGGTGGTGCCTATGGTGGACTAAAAGGCTGCAAACCAAGGCAGGTTGAAAAGAGAAGAGGGGCAGGGCAGTGGTGGCACACACCTTGAATCCCAGCAGAAGCAGTCAGGCAGATCTCTGAGTTCGAGGCCAGTCTAGCCTACAAAGTGAGTGCTATAACAGTTAGGGCTAAATAGAGAAACCCTGTCTCCAACAACAACAACAACAAAAACCAAAACCAAAAACGTCTGTCCCAGCTCCGACTTTGCTTCTGCTTCCTGGACAATATGCTGTGAGCTGCTGTGCTTTGCCAAGCCCTCTCCACCACAAGGGTCTGAGACTGCAACCCTAGGAGACTGGGGAATGAGGTAAAGGCAGTGCTGAGGCTTCGATCCTAGAGGCTCACAATCTTGCAATCTTGGTTTGAAACCCCCCCCCCCCCAGTTCAAGAGACCCTTGACCTTCGCTCTTATTATTATATTCCCTAAGATACAGGGAGGTTCAGTCAGAGTGACTGGGGGTCCTAGAGTGGTTCTTGAGACAAAAGGATGGACAGGTGTTCTCTCTCTCTCTCTCTCTCTCTCTCTCTCTCTCTCTCTCTCTCTCTCTCTCTCTCTCTCTCTCTCTCTCTCTGCCTGTGTGTACCAGTGGTATGTCTGTGTGTTGGGAGCTTGCTGGCTGCAATGAATACAGGATCTATGGGAATCAAGTTTGCTGGGGGTCTGGAGACAAGTCACCCTAAGGGCACACATCAGGGACAGGTCTTCCCACACAACCCCCCCGGACTTTCTCTCTGCATGTTCATTGATGGACAGTCCACAGGAGGCTTCTCCCCTGTATATGAGCAAGCGGTAATAGGTAATCTCACAGGGAACGAGGGGAGTCTTCTACACACCTCTTTTCAGATTGTTTTCCACAGGAGGCAGAGAACAAAGGTCAGAAAGGCAAGGGCATTCCCTTCAGAAAGCAAACCTTCTCCAGGGCTTCCCTGCGGCTGAGTAGGGATGAGGCTGAGGGACGGCAAGGTAGGAGCCGCTGGAACAAACCCTTCACAAAAGTCAACATGGAAAATCAATTTCCTTTCCTTTTGGATCTGCCCGGTGGCCTGAGGAACTGGCCTGCAGTGGCTATGGTCTGGGTGAGGCCCAGTGAATGCCTCTGTGTGGGGAGGAACCTATGCTCCTACAGTGTCTGATGTCATGTGTTCCATGTGCCCTCGCTCCTTTCTTCATTTTGCAGGATATAAAAGGACCACTAGGCTGAAGCTCCAGTCTCTCCCGAGCAGAGGGAATTCCGGGTGTCATGGTTTCCAGAAGGGGAAGGCAGTCTCCCTGTGGGGTGTAATTACATCCCTGCTTTCCACAGAAGAATAGTTTATGGCTTAAATGCTATTAATTGTAAGCCATTCTGTTTCACGGGAAGTTGTTCATTGATAACTACCCAATTAGAGTTATTTTGCAATTAGTCTATTCACAGTAAATTTACTGCAAAGGGAAGGCCATGGTGCAGGAAATTAAAGCATCATGGGGCTGGTGTGCCATGTGTCTTAAATGCCAGCCCCATTAACCAGTTTGGAGGTCCTGGGAGAGTGTGCCACCTTCGCCAAGGCAGAGACAGCCAACCCCGCAGGCAGCACCAGTGAGCACACAGCAGCTTACAGACATCCATCTCAGCATGACCAGGAGAAGCATGGGAAACTCTGCCGTGTGGTGGTAGATGACTGTGGAGCAAGCTGTAAGGCAAATATCTGTGCAATGTGCAGCACTGGCGGAGGTGCATTTGCTCAACTGTGTGGTCTTGAACCCTTTGAGATGTATATACCACCAAGGTACAGAGAGGGCAAGCAACTTGCCCTGTCTCCCAGCTTGTTCAGAGGAAATCCGGGCTCCAAAAGCAGGCACTCTAGCCTCACACCCATGTTCTGTATCATTATCATAAGTTCCCTTGTTTCCCCAGATGACACTGTCCCTTCTGACTATATGAAGGGGAGTAGCTCGTAGGCTGCAAAATTACTTTGGGCTGAAGTGAAAATCTGTTTTCCTCCTGAAGACCAACAGACTTAGGGAAGGGGAGTCAGGCTCTGCAACCTGAATTCCAGGACCAGTTTTGCTGGCTATTAGCCACATGCCTGCAATCAAATCCTAAACCTCCCTGAGCCTCAGTTTCTTCAACAAAAGATTCATGGTGATAAAAATACAGCATTGTTTATTGGACTATGGATGGTCCATAGAGTAATGATGGATGGCTTAGGACTTTTCTACTTGACCATGCTGGGAACACAAACCACGCCCACCCCACCCTCCTTCCCAGCCTTCACTGCAGTATTTAATAACTTACACAAAGCAGTCAACACACTAGCTTAGCATAAGCTTTCCTTTTCATTGGTTTCATAGGCTGATGGAAACTTTCTGAGCACATTTAAGGTAGAGCAAACTGAACTAGGGCATTCCATAGGTCAGATGTGCTATGTACATTTTTGAGTTCATGACATTCATACCTTAAATTAGATGGCCAAGGATGCGAGCCTCTCCCTCACAAGCAAGGAAGCAATCCAAATCCCCTGTAACCTAAACAAGTGCATTGATGTTTGTGCGTTTGCTCCAAGAGCAGACTCTAGTTATTGTGATAGAGCTGTAGGGCCCAACAGCCACACAAATTTACTACTAGGACCTTCGTGGAGCAAGCATGCAAACTCTATATGTGGGAGGCGTCACATGTTCTTGGTTCAGACTTCCTAAGCGCCCCCTGCCTGGCACTGACTAAGAACAGCTCTTGGAAACATTGCATTCCACTTAATTATGGCTGCACACTAAGTGCCAAGTGCAATCAAGAACACAGACAGGAACCACCTGGACCACACAGACGACGGTGAAAGGAGGATCTTTGTAGATCTGTCTGTTGTTCAGGGAGGGTTGCGTGGATACGCATTTGCTGCTACAAGCTCAAAAAGTCAGGCTGAACTTGACTAAGAGGGAACGTGTGAAGGGCATGCGAAGCTTTCCTTTCCAACCTTCACTTGGGAAACTTGAAGTTTGGGGCCACAACCCATCTGATAAACTGTGTGGACACTTAGTGCCACAAAGAGGAGTCCCTCAGAAACCATTGGGGGGGGTGGGTATGGGATCCCACAATATGCATACACAGCAGTGTCCCATCTCTTCTACGAAGTGTTATGGTGTTTGCTTATGGCCTGCACATCCTTCTATATGTGACAAATACTCTCTGGATAATGTCTATAATGTCAGGGCTGTACAACTAGCTGATAGATTATATTATGCAGGTAATAATAATAATAATAATAATAATAAGCCAAGGTTTAACAAAGACTGACTTTTTTCTGATTTCCGTAGACTGTGCATTCCAGGATAGCTGGAACACAGCACAAAACATCTGTAGACCCCGACGTCATATCACACTGTCAAAGTTGGGCAGGCACTACTGCTAAAGGAAACAGGTTAAAATACTAACACATGCAATGCGACTTTATAAAACTGTCCTTAAAGTATACTGCAGGAGTTCAGAGTTCCCAGACAAATCAGGTCCTGTGATCAGGGTTTGAGAGACACAGTGTGGCTGTACTCAGAGGGCTTGAGAAGGCAGAGGGACAGGGTCAGAGACAGGAGAAAGTGACTTACCCTCCAGGGGACAGAACCGAGCCACCTTCTCTGGCATCAGCAGGCCCAGCTTGTGGCGACAGTAGGTTTCTGCAATCTCCTGGCGGCAGTGCTTGGACTTAGCACGGGTCAGGGCTGAGATGGCCTCCTTGCCAGAGATGTCACACTTGGGGGGCTGGTCAGACTTGGTTTCGGGGGAACCACCACCACCACCAGTCTTCCTGGCATGGCTGTGTCTCGAGAGATCCTTCCCTTGGCTACTGTCACCCGTGGCTTTTTCCCGAGAAGGCAGCACCTCCTTGGGGCCTTTGCCCAGGACTGACTGCCCCTGTCCTTTCTCCTGAGCATCCAGCTTCCTCTGCAGCCGCTCTTTCTGCCTGCTGGGGATCTTCTTTGCCAACTCTGGTTGGTGCTTCTGCTTCTGGGTTCTGGGGGCGAAGTTGCTGTTGTCCACATTCTCAAAGTCCTTCGGGACCGAGTTCTCATTGTTGCTGTCGGTCCGAACTTTTTCTTTGGGCCGGTGAGAGAAGTAGCCATCCTGCGGAATTAGAGAAATGGGAAGCTGTCACTCTGGTAAGCCACTCTAAGCAGGCTGGCCCTGAGAGGGCAGTGTAGCAGGTGGGAAGCCTGAGTCAGGGCTGCCATTCTACTACCATATCTCAGACAATGGAAGTTTCCCACTCAGTTCCCCACAAGACCACTAAGGCCTTTCCACGCCCATGGACACCAGCACAATTACTGCGATTCTCAGAGATTCCCTTCACCCACTGCACTGTCTGGGGAAGATTTCCCTCGGGGCTCCTGTTCATATCCCAGCAGAAGGTGTTGTGGTGATATATAGAAGAGCCGGAACCATCAGGATCAAATCATAAAGCATTGGATACATTGCCTTTAGGAGAAGCATAGCTATCTCGTCCATACGAAAAATTAGGCTTAACCCACAGTCAATCCCATAAGCAAGGCATCATGCTTTTTAGAAGTTTTTAAATTTGGTTTAATTTAACTTAATTTTTAATCACAGTGCAGCCGATGCCAAACAAGTTTGGCAATGAGTCTCAAGGGGGAGGGAGAGGGAAATGGGAGGCGGCAGTGGGGATGAGACAGTAATCTTAAATAAATAAATAAATAAATAAATAAATAAATAAATAAATAATAAAAAAGAAAGAAAGACTCAAACCTGTGATCTTCTACTGCCCTTGCTGTACTGGGTTCAAAGTCATGTCCTTACACATCTCAATCAAGTGCTCTGCCATGGAGCTACAGTCTCCGGACCTTTTTATTTTATTTATTTTCTTTTATTCTGAGACAGAGTCTCACCCAGTGGGCCAGGGTGGCTTTGAATTTTCTCCGCAGCCAGTTCCTCCAGCTAATTGTTGATTTCAGGCACTGGCCAAGGTAGCTCAGGATTAATTCAACCATCCCTTCAAGAGATGCAGTTACCATGGGACCATGGCCTCCCCCCACCTCAGATGCTACGCAGTTACCATGGGACATTTGTTAAAATATTCCAGCAAGACAGAAAGAGGATGTTTATGTTTGCCCTCTGGAATGAATTGCTCACATACACTTACTTGACAGCTTCTAGAAAAGTCTGTGTGAGGCATAGTGACGGAGAATCAGGTATTTGCAGGGGGTCTCAGAATCCCATCACCTAGATTCTGTGCTGTTTTCGATAGTAGCCACGGTCACTACAACCACCTCGCCATCCCCATATATTCTACCCTTTAAAAATTTTATTTTATTGTTGTGGGACCAAAATTCCAAAAACATTGAAAAAATAATGAGACCTACCTCCCTATTCTTTTTTTAAAGATAGGATCACGCTATATAATGTAGTACTGGCTGGCCTGGAACATGCTATGTATTGCTGTGTATGTATGTATTATATGTACATGTATGCCGCGCCCTTTGAGGCCGGAAGAGGCCGTTGGATGCCCTGGAGCTGGAGCCATAGGTGGTTGTTGTTTGTAGCATGAGTCCTGAGATCCGACCTCTGGTTCTCTGCAAGAGCAGCCTGCTCTCTCAGCGGCTGAGCCATCTCTCTGGGCTCTCAACTTTCATCCATGTTGCTACACACTATGACGTCCTTAGGAAACTCAGAATACTATCACTGCAGGTGTAAGCCACACCTACCTTATATATGTGTCTGCCAGTATATTAAGGAATTGCCTCACTGACCCCACCCCCAGTTTTTCATCTGAACCCAAAGAGGCAAACAAGCTTCACTTTTTCCTCTCCCTTCCCTGAATACTCACCCCCCCAAAAGAGAAAAACAGTAAGAAAATAAAAAAAACTTGGTGGCTCATGCCTGTAATTCCAACATTTGGGCAGAGAAAGGAAAATCACTTAAAATCTAGTTCTACCTAGGCTACATAGTGAGTTCCAGACAAGTCTAGGCTACATTGTGAGACCCTGACTCAAGAATGACAAAATACCTCTCCCCTTGTCCCTACTGCCTCCAGCTGGCAAGGGAGCTGGCCTCTTTTACCAGATGCAACATTTGAAACAGTGGTCCCAGCGCCTCATCAGGGCAGCACAGAGGAGCTGACCCTGTTGGCAAGGGCGCAGGTGAGCCGGCTGGGGAATGTGAGCATGGGGGACCTGGTCCTGCCCCTCAGCCCCTCATCTAACATATGGTCACATGGGTGGAGAAGAGGTGATGCTCCCCACCCATCAATGCCTGAGGCAGGTCGAAGAACTGGCCCTGAGGGTGAGAGAGCTGCCCCTGCCCTCCACCAGTTACAGCACTCGGGAGAACAGGCCCTGCACCTCCGGTGGGCAGCACAGTAGAGCCAACCCCATTGGTGGAGGTGGAGGTGAGCCAGCCTGGAGTTGTGAGCATGGGAGAGCTATCCCTGTTACCCATAAGCCATGTGGTGGCATGGGTAGGGGAGAGACACCCTCCTTGCCCTGCCCATCAATGTCTAAGGTAGATGGTAGAGCTGGCCCTGGGGTTGTAAGAGCAGGAGAGCTGACCCTGCCCCTCATCCACTGTAGCACTCAGAAGAGTGGCCCCTGTGCCATGCCTGGGACACACAGTAGAGCTGAGCCCCAAGGTGTGGCTGTGGGAGCTCTGACCCGGAGGACATGAAGCCAGAACTAGTTTAGTTCTGCCAGGGATGAACTCGCCAGGACAATGCAGGAGAGCTCACCCTGAAGGTGAGGACAAGGGAGTTGCAGACTGACCAACCCTGCAACCGCCCAGGTCCAGAACCAGGGTTATGAATTGACCCAACCCAATATCCACTGCATCTGCGATCTGCTGGAGCATGTGAAGGGACCAGTTCTGCAGACCCAAAGCTGCAGGATCTCCACGACACAAGGCAACAGCAGGATAACTAAAAGGAGTCCCAGTGAGGGCCCAGCATCGATAGTGTAGCAGAAACCAGAGGCCTCAAACCAAACCAGAGACTCTTTGCAATCAACACTTGCAAGTAAAGATATATGGATGAAAGGATTTGCTGTGTGACTCACTACGTCACACTACAGCTTCCATGATGAGACTGATTTTTTTCCTTCTCTCTCTCTTTTCTTTTTTTCTCTTAAATTTCATTTATTTTATTTTGGAGGGGAGGGGGGCTTGCAAGGGCAGAGGGTGGATGTGAAGGGACGGGGAAATGAATGGCATGGAAATGCATGGTGTGAAAGACACAAAGATAAATGAAAGAAAAAGAGAGAAATTTAAAAAATAATAATGATAAAATAAGCACAAACCCCCGAGTATGGCAGCCCATGCCTGGAATCCCAGAACTCTGAAGGTAGGAGCAGGAGGATTGCTGCTGCAATACCAGGCCAGCCTAGCCTAGAGATTGAGTCCCAGACCTGTTTAGACTGGTCAGTGTGAGACCCTGACACAAAACAACAAAATACAGACAAAAATCCTAGCACTGAGAATGGGAAGTGCACACAAAGTCCCACTCCCAACCATTTGCAATTGGTACCTGCTGGGGAACAGGGAAACTGGTTTTCCCCAACTGAGTGTCTCTGGGAATATCAACCACACTCCAGAGAAAGCCCTAATCCAGTAGGACTCAACCTGTGGGTCATGACCCCTCTCACAAACCTCCATCTTCAAAAATATCTGCATTAGGATTCATAACAGTAGCAAAATTATACCAATGAAGTAGCACCAAAAGTAATTTTATGGTTGGGGGTCACCCTAACATGAAGAACTGTCTTCAAGGGTCCCAGTGTTAGGAAGGCTGAGAACCACTGTGAAGCCCAGGAGCGCTGACCCATGTAAACACACTTCATGTTTTCTTCTCTGTATGTGTGTGTTCTTTTTGTTTTTCCATATATATATATATATATATGTATATATGTAGAGAGCTGCATGGAGCCACACCTGATAATCAGCTCCTATTATGGCTAAGGCCTGACTCATGCTATTATCACGCAATGATTGTCAGGTGCTTGCATATGCATGGACCTATGGGCAGTGCCTACCTGGAAATCCGGGGTTGGCGGCCCGTGCCTTTTTAAGGGCTGGGAGAAGTTTGCCCGGGAGGAGAGAGAGAGGGAGGGAGAGAGAGAGAGAGAGAGAGAGAGAGAGAGAGAGAGAGAGAGAGAGAGAGAGAGAGATACAATTGTCAAAAGGCCCTGAATAAACTGCTAGCAGGAAGAGCTCCGGTGTCGCGTCATCCTTGTGGGTCGAGACTGAACATGACATTACTGGTTTTCTTTCTTTTAGTTTAACTGTTTTTATTTTTATTTTATTTTATGAGAGAGAGAGAGAGAGAATCATGAAGTTATATGGGTAGGGAAGTAGTAGAGATCTTGGAGGAGTTGGAAGGGGATAAAATATGGCAAAGATTTTTAATAATAAAAAAGCTAAGCATGCCTGTAATGGACCATGCCTGTAATCTCAGCACTGAAGTGGCAAGAGGCAGGAGGACTGCCACAAGTTAGGCTAGCCAGAAGTCTGTCCAACACAACTAGGTACAAATGAGCCTGAATATCACAGAAGAACTCAACACACATACACACACACTTGGGCAAACTCCAATCAGATCCCTAGAAGATATTCATTGAGTGCAGGGCCCCAGATCAGGACCTTTCTGCTAAAGCTCTACAGCTTGTCCCTAAAGCTAGGGGACACAGTGAGGCAGGAAGAAGAGAGCCAACCAAGGAGTAGAGACCAGACACACAGAGGCTAAACAAGGTAATAGCATGAATTGACTCAGACTCATTGTGCCTCAGCTTCCTTATCTGGAAACGGATGTGATGATTGTGTTTACCTTGTGGGTATATTGGTGATGGTGAATGTGCTGGAAACCTCTGGAAGATCCTTCCTACTCAGTCAAAGTAGGAGGAAGAATGAGCAACACACCCTAACTATGTAACAACTTTACTAATTAATTGTATGCCTGAGGGCTGGAGAGATGGCTTAGCGGTTAAGAGGGCTGTTGAGAAATTGTAGAGTTCAGATTCCAATGCCCACAGAACAAGCCAGGCATTCTGCATACATCTATAACCCCATCTCCTAGAAGGAGGAGACAGGAGTATCTCAGGACTTGCTAACTTCCTGCCTAGCCAAGA